AAACCCCAAACGACTCAAACCACGAGGAGCGCTTTCTCTCCCTCCTCCTCCGCCTCGTCCTTCTCCCGCTCCCACCACAAGGAGGATGTACAAGGAGGCGGGAGGAAGGAGGAACAGGGGAGATATGCGGGGGCAGGCGGAAACACGCCTGAAAAACACGACTGTCGGCATGCTTCGCAAGAGTTGCTGTTTTGAGATGGGCTGGTGGGGATACGCGAAGCGTAAAGAATTTCTGTTCGCAGTGAGTTGTCCACTCCACTGCTCGCGCAAACATCCCACCCACCCACCCGCAACTTGGTTTGCAAAATCTCTTGAGATCATGACGGTGGGTACCAAATGGCACTTGGGCAAAAAGCGACCCCGACCACGACAGCGACAACGACGACGACGACGACGACGCCGCCGACAACGACTACAACGACACCAACGACGTCTCCGACGACTTCGACGACGCCGACAACGACAACAACGACCACGACGACACCGACGACGACGACGACACCGACGCAGACGACGACGACGACGATGACAACGACAACGACGATGACAACACCGACGACGACGACAACAACGACACCGACGACGACGACGACGACGTCAACGACGCCGACGACGACGACGACGACGACGACGGCAGCGACGACGACGACACCGACATCGACGACGACGACGAAGACGACGCCGACACCGACGCCGACGACGACGATGAAGACGACGACGACGTCGCCAACGAAGACGACGACGAGGGAGGAGGGAGGACGACGACGGCGACAACGACGACAACGACGACAACGACGACAACGACGAGGGAGGAGGGAGGACGGCGACGACGCGAACGACGAAGAAGGAGGAAGAACGGCGACGCTGATGATGATAACGACGAGGGAGGAGGGACGACGATGATGATGATAAGGACGACGAAACCTTGTGTTTTTGTAGGTTTTTTGGACGCGCGATTTTGAAATCCTTCCGAAACCGATGGGTTTGGGAAGATTTCGGCGTACGCGCGCGACGACGCGCGCGTGGGCACTTCGTCCCATTTTCTGCAAAGGATTCTCGCGACGGCACACGCGCAAGGGCGTTCGACAGATTTGGACATGCGCGCGCGTGAAGCCCGTTTGGTAACATGTTGTGAAAATATTGAAAACCTATGGTTTTCTTAAGATTTCGCAAAAGCTCGCGCGTAAGCTTTTGTAGCAAATCAGTGTTGCAAAACCATGTGTTTTTGTATGTGTTTTGGATACTCGATTGCGAAATCCTTCCGGCACCGGAGGTTTTTGAAGGATTTCGGCATGCGCGCGCGACGACGCGCGCGTGTGCACGTCGTCCCATTGTTTTGCAAGGGATTCGAGAAAAAGTGTTATGTTAGAACAATAAATGTCATCGCTTAGTGTTTTTCACAAAAGAACCTCAGGGGGGGGGGAACCCGGCTGGCCTGGGACAGTGTGATTTCGTATTTAGGATGGACATGTGGTCAGAATCATATGTGATTTACCCGAAAGGGGTAGCGATAACGCCGGGGGGGTAGAGTCTACTCTGTTTTTAGAAAGGAGAATATATGCAGTATATGCGGTGCTCCTCATGTGGTGCAATCTACGTTGTGCAATATATGTTGTGCAATTTTTGTGGTGCAATATATTCTGTGCAGTGCGATCGATGCTGTGCAATATATTTGGTGTGTGTTGTGAGCGATCAAGCAGCACGCCGCGGACCCGATTTTCTTTCGTGCGAACTAGGTGGTGAGATCCAACGGCGGCGACGGGCGGCGACGGGGCGGCGACGGGGCGGCGACAGCGGCCTCATAGCCGCCAGACCGCAGACCCGGCCCAGACGACGGGCGGCGACGAGGCGGCGACGGGGCGGCAACGTCGGCCACATCGCCGCCAGACCGAAGACACGGCCCAGTTCCTGAGAACCGACAAAAGAACCCCTAAGTACAAGCACTGCCTCTGAAACAAGGCCCTCGCCAAAACAGTGCCCATCAGTTGCTGGCCGTTCAGGAGGGCGCTTCTAGTAGTGAAAAAAAGTGCTTCAAGGAACTGACTCTGGCCATCCTCCTCCTCCCTCCCTACTCCGCCTCCATCTATTCGAAGCGACGGTCAGGGCACATGTCTACTCACCCTCGCCTGGAGGAGAGTGAGCGGGCGGCCTGGAGCGAGGCGAGGGGACGAGAAGCCCGAAAGCGCGGGCGACCTGACGGTGCAAAAGGAGAACTGCCTCCAGGAGGGAGGAGAAGGGGAAGCGAGGACTGAGCCGCTCGCAAAGGGGGTGTCGCGAGGGGAGCGGCACTCCAAGAAGGGGTGTGGTTGCCGAGATGGGCCCGGAGGCGTTCGAGAAGGCTTCTGAGAAGCAGAGGGGGACTTCAAGAAGCCCCGAGACTTCTCACAGGGCAACAAAGACACGTTGCAAGCACGCGCTGTGCGGGGATCACGCTGGCAGGGCCCGGGGCCACGATTCACGGGCGCTCTCGGGCGTTCCCTGGCCGACACGTGTTTGGAAGCCTCGGGACCGAGGTTTAGGATCCAAACTTCCAGCATGGTTTGCGATGGTCCCAGGGCCCGACATGGAGCCCTTTGGGAGGCCCCCTCGGCTTGGACCTCCGGAGGCCTCAGGACCGTGGTTTGGCATCCACACTTCCAGCATGGCTTGCTCAGGGCCCGTCCTAGAGCCCTTTTGTGGGGCCTCTTGGGCCGTCTCAAGAGGCTTCGGAGCCAAACCAAAAGACCAAAAACGCTGCAAACAAACATAATTTGCTACTCAAGTTTAGCATTCTCGCCAGTTTGGCCTTAAGAGCGCCCAAGACGACCCAAGAGGTCCCGCCAAGACGATTGCAAGACGGCCCCCGAGGCCTTCAAGAGAGCCCAAGCAATCTTCAAGACGGCAGCAAGAATGGCCCAAAAGGGAGAAACCGAACTGACATGTGGAGCCTTTCCTCCAAGATGGCCCTGGAGACCACCAGCAGGCACCTGTGAGGTCAACGACCCCAGGAAGCATCTAAGAGGCCTCTTATCCACAAGCAAGACACGGTGGTGCGCCGAAGACCACTAAACCCGCCGACCCCTGTTGATTTATCAAAGGGGTGCACGGCGTGCGGAATGTCTGGCAGGTGTTTGGATCTTGGAAAAAAAATTCGTCTCGGCCCAGCCCGCGGGCCACCCAGGAAACCTCTGGGTCATCGGTCGTGCCGTCAAGATGGCCCCGAGATAGCCTCCTTGATGGCTAAGATGGCCTTCAAGACGGCCAAGATGGCCCCGAGGAAGCCCAAGATAGCCGCAAGACGTCTCCAACACGGCCCGAGATACACCCAAGACGGCCGAAAATGGCTTCAAGATGGCCCAGGACAGCCCAAGAAGCCCCAAAGAGGCCACCAAGATGGCCCAAGAGGCCTCCAAAAGGTCAATCTTACGGAACGCCCCTGTGCTAAAGCCACATCACTTGCCGCTGCAGTTTTTCGCATACGTTCCATGATCCCAGGTGCATCAGTACAAGAGAAAAGTGTAGACAAAACAACCGAAAAATACATGTAATACATTTATGAGATAGGGCTCTGTATGTAATGTGTATACATATCATACAGTAGGGAAAGGCTCGAGTCAAATAGGTCCAGAACCGATTCAAAATTCAAGAACAAGAACTAGTCTAAGGCCACTAGGAAGAGAAAGTCAAATCCTTCAGGCAAGAGTGGAGCGATCTGCGTACGCACTCCCATGGAATATTCGTCATCACATGAACCTCTCTGTAATTAAAAGGCTCACCTAACTTTTTAAAACAATGATGTTTCCAGTCCTCCTACACCTCTCTGACGGCTGCCACCCGAACCAATACTATCAATGGATTGACTGAGCTGATTTCCAAAAATCCTTGATTACCCTTAGGTTGTTGAAGGAGTTTCGCAGTTGCTCCGTTTCGGCTCTCTGACGGCCCAGACGGCCCAAGAAGCCCCCAAGATCCCCCAAGAGGCCTCCAAGATGGCCCCATGACTGCACAAGAGTCCACCAAGACGGTCTGAAAAGGGCCCCAAGACGGCCCAAGCGGCATCCAAGACGCCGAAGGCCATGACGGACGTGTAGCGCACCAAAAGGTCCCAAGTCGGTTCAGAGGAGCCCCCAAGACGGCTTCCGACGGCGTCAGACGGGCCAGGAACGCCCTAAGACGGCCAAAGAGGCCCCCAAGAGGCTTCCAAGAGGCCCCAAAGAGGCTAAAGGAAGCCCCCAAGAGGCCTCCAAGAGGTCCCCGGAAGCTCCCAGGAGTGCCTCATGAGGCTCCCGACAGGCCTCCTCCTCCTCCTCCTCCTCCTCCTCCTCCTCCTCCTCCTCCTCCTCCTCCTCCTCCTCATCATCATACACCTCCACTTCCACCTCCTCCTCCACCTCGTCCTCCTCCTCCTCCTCCTCCTCCTCCTCCTCCTCCTCCTCCCCATCCTCCTCCTCCTCCTCCTCCTGCTCCTCCGCCTGCTCCTCCTCCTCCTCCTCCTCGTCCTCCTCATCCTCCTCCTAATCCTACTCCTACTCCTACTACTCCTCCTCCTCCTCCTCCCCCTCCCTCTTTGGATCCTCCCTCTCATCCTCCCCCAACTGTTTCCCGAAGAGCCTCCAGAGCGGCTGGGGGAATCCTTAATCCGACACCTTGGCCAGGCTAGGGCCAAACGATTGGCCACAGAGGCGCTCCCAAAAAGGCAGGGGGCGGCGGTGATTTCCCGTAGGCGTATTCGATACCTAACGAAACAACATTAGGGCACCAAGACAACGACCCCAAACCTACAGTAACATGTAGGCGCAAGTCTCCACGGCTTTCAGTGTCGGAAGCCTGAACTGCCGATGTGTTGCGCCGCCCTGGTGCGTAGGGTGGGCCTAGCTTTTTGGTCATAGCACACCAGCAGTCGTGCACTGCGAAATATTCTGGCAACTCGACATGCACAGCTAACCCCGAGTCCCCAAGTTTCTGCACGCAACTCCATACACGAAACAAAAAGACATGACGCGTAACGGATCGGAACACCCCTAATACCATCCGCTTGCCGCTCCCCCAAAATAATTCGGCCCATAATGCATGCAATCCATCCCGTTGCCCAGGAGTGCCGCCACTAGGCTGCGGTTACCAGCAGCTTCAGCAAGCTGCAGAGGCGTCCGGCCATCATCGGCAGCAGCAGTAGGGCTGGCCTGTGCTGCAAGCAGCATTGTGACAAGACCATCTGCAGATGCCTCATTTGACAGCTTCGTACTATTAGCGATATCCGAAGCGACCAAGTACTCGATGGCGAACAGCAAGGCACTGCAACCATCCCATGTTCTTGCGAGCGGATCAGCATTGGCCTCGAGTAGAACTGCGACTGCATGCTTGTGCGAAAGAGCACAGGCAGACATCAGAGCTGTTTTCCCAACCGAATCTGGGACGTCGACGGACGCGGCGGCGTTCAACAGCAGCGTGACTAGCTCTGCATGTCCACCGTCCGCGGCAAGAATCAGGGGAGTCATCCCACCAGTATCTGCAACATCCACATGAGCTGCATAGTCAAGCAGATACTGTACCATTGGCACGCTCCCTGAGGCACACGCTGTCATTAGCGCCGTATCACCACCGTGTGTTGCTGCATTCGGATTAGCTCCAGCACGGAGTAATGCCAACAAGCTGGATGCAGCATCGCGTGCTTCGTTCTCCAGAGGACCACCCACAGAGTTAACAGCGCACATCAGCGGAGTCCAACCCTCGACATTTGCTATGTCCACTTCTGCCTTGTAAATCATAAGGAGGGAAACAATCTGAGGATGACAACGCTCAGCAGCATACATAAGACATGTCCGCCCCATCTCGTCTACTGCGTTGAGATCGTCTGGCGGTATTCCTCCTCGTAAAATCTTCATTGCCTCGCTAGTCGCCCCAGTTTCGCAAGCCTGCAGAAGACGTTGTTTTAGCATCTTATGTCGCAAGTCCCTGGCCTCTGCAGCACGCTGCTGGGCGGCGGATCCTCGCGTATGATTGGGATGTCCTTCGGTATGGAGACCTCTATCATAGAGAAATCGGCATCGAGCAGAGCTGAGTACCTCATAAGCTTGCAAAATTCGCTGAAAGTAAGCGGTCGCATTTTCCGTGGCATCCTTGTCAGGATGATGTTTCAGTGCCTTCTGCCTGTAAGCTTTCCGGATTTCAACGCTGTTGGCTGTGGACGGTATGCCCAAGGCATCGTAGTGAGTAAAACCCTTCAGCGCGTCCATTGATTACACTTCGAAGCCAGCTCGGACGACGGCCTGAACTTGGACCACATGGCTCGAGCCAAAGTGCCTTGAGCCAAAACGGTAACGAGAGGTGACCGGAGCCAGCCCAATGGGGCCAGCACCCCAACACCCACCCAAGACAGCCACAGCATGGCACGACGGTGGCTCGTGCCCAGCTCCCGATGCCGCACCCCAGCGGGCCCCAAGAAGCCTCGAAAGGGCCCCTGAGGAGGCCAGGGAGAGGCCTTGGAACACAAAAACCGTGGAGAGACGCGCTTGTCTTGCCACTCTGGGCGGCTCAAACTCGCTTTCGTTGGCCAGCACTGACTCTCCAGCAGGCATCCTGGAGACCCCATGACGGACCCAAGGCAGGCAGGCCGTTTCAAGAGGGCCCCAGGTCGGCCCAAGACCGCCCTCAGATGGTTGTAAAGAAAGGACCCCAGAACGTCCCTCCCACGGCCCTGCAATGCTCCAAGACGACCTCAAGACACCCAAAAGGCATCTGGCCAAATCCCAATGGACCCAAGATCGCAAATAGCGAGCTTGCACGGCTCCGCGTAAACGCATCCATCCTCAGACGCAGATTTCAAGATGATATCTGAGTGTAAAATGAACCAGCCACGCAACGCTACAACGATATGGTGGAGACGGCCTGCCTGGAGTCAAGCCTCGGGTTATGTTGCTCCCATCGCACTGAAGGACCACATCCCAAAAATAATTTCGAGTACCCAGAAAAGCGTCGAAACAGTGTCGAAACAGTGTCGGACGAGTGTCTCCCAGGGCCCGACACGTGAAAACCATCTAATTTTGGTGCTTGTTTTTCTGGTGCTCGAAGTTCTTTCTGGTGATCAAGGCTAAAGTAGGTTGGAACATCGTAAGCCTCGGGGTTAAATACCTCGCGCGTCACGTGACCACAGCAAAAAGGTGGTGGCCATTCCTTCAGTCCCGCATCACCGAAGCTGCGGTCTTCGACGGGCCGTCCTCGGACTCGGGCTGACATGGCACACGGAGTCCCACCAGCCCTCCAGGCGTAGGTGCTTCACGAATTGTGCCTTCTCTCTGCCAAAGCTCCCTCCTTCCCCTGCTCGGGGGAGGGGGTGACCCCTCCCCCTACCCCCTACCCTGGGCCTGGAAGGGGCGCCCCGCGAGGGGTTAGAGCGTCCAAGATTGCCCAAGATGGCCCCCATGAGGGCCTCTGAGAGCACATGATGGCCCCGAATATGGCTCAAGATATCTCAAGATGGTTCAAGATAGCCTCCGACTCACATTTCAGAGGCCTCAAGACGACCCCAAGACGGTTTGAAGTGCCCTCCGAGCTCTCCAAGGACTCCCCCCAAGAGGGCAAAATGGCTCCCAAAACCTAAAAAGACTCATGTTGTTTGCCTTCTCGCCATTTCGCTTCCGATGGGCTCTTGAGGCCTCAAGATGACCCCAAGACGGCCCAAGAGAGCCCCAGAGGAGGTCAAGAAAGCCCCAAGACAGTCCCAAGAGCGCCCAGGAACGCCCCAAGAGGGCGTCAAGACGCCATTTTTGAGCCTCCCGGGGGGGGGGGGGCCTGAATGTCCTACATGGGAGCCGAGAGGACCCCAAGAGGCCTCCCAGACCCCCCACCGAGCCCCAAGAGGGCCCCAAGAAGGCCTCAAGAGAGCCCCAAGAGGGCGTCAAGAGTGTCGCAAGAAGCTCCGCGAGGACCCCATGAGAGCCCCGAGATGGCTCCATGAGACCTCCGAAAAAACGCTGCCAAGGCGGTGTTTACACTGCACTCATCGGCACTTCCCTGATCAAGGCAACTCGCCTGGCGATGGGCTGGTGGGGACACGCGAAGCGTCAAGAATTTCCTGAGTTCACCGCCATTGGGGCAATGGATTCTGGTGTCGACCACCCACAGATGCATCACCCTAGCGTGGTGGCATGTACGAGCGACAGCGTTGCCGCACCGATGACACCATGCCGGGAACGCCAAGCACACAGGCAACACCGAGGCAACTCTGAGACTGCAGAGGAGAAATGACAAGAGTGGCGAAAACGACAGCGGGCCCCCCTAGCTTGTCCTTTGTCCAGGGTCTCCTGGGAGGCCCTCGTGGCCTCACCTGGACGCGGAACGAAAATCTTCAGAATGGCATTGTCTTAAGCGAAAACGAAGCAAGGAGAATAACACACAGACGAGGAACGTAGCAAGACGAAGAGCAGAGGACAAGCACAAGAAGGATAACCAGACTCATCCAGTCCAGGTGACGACAGGGGACGCGGGGGAGAAGGACGACGGCGAGCACTAGTAGAGACGTTCCTTCAAGCCCAGCGGAAAGGCGTGCTGGGGGTGGGGCGGCCGCCAGGCCGACTGTGCATTCGACGCGACACGCCGCGCGACCATGCATGACTGCCTGGATGGCTTCAACCTACATGCCTGACATGCATGAGCAGATGCAAAGTTGGCAATGACTCTGTGAGCTTGCGATCTTCTCACACAGGCAACATCACATCCCCATCACGATGTTTGAATCTGATGTAGCTTGGGCAAAATCATAATATGCCCCTGTGAGGGCAGCACTGTCGGGTACCTGATGACTACACCTAATCAATCAAGCTTTTCCTATTTCAATGATGCGTAGCTGTAAATGCCTGCCTCACCTAACACATGTTGCACACGGATCAAAATTAACACTTGTTTACTCGACCGTGCTCTTGGACGCATGTCAAACGCAGTCTGTTCCGAACACGCTAGCCACTCGCAAGACGGTCTACGAGTGCGACGAAGCTTGCGCTGAACATGAAATAGATGAGTGCAAGATCACCCTGAAGTTGGTCACGACATTCCCCCCGCAGAGATTTCAACTCGATGGAAGAACAGGTCCTTCCCCACAAGTCGCTTTGAAACATTACCACAAGTCGAACACACTGAACATGACACTCGGTGGGAAGGCTACACACGGCAGAAGAATTGCAAACCAAGGTGTCATGAGTCGATAGCTGCCAACGCAATGCAAACGACAAGACTCACGCCGTATTGCGGCTGAGCAACAAGAAAAGCAATTGGAACCGCGCAGGCGGCGCATGCTGCACCACATAACCGAAGAGAGAGAGAGAGAGAGATATATATATATATATATATATATATATATATATATATATATACATATATATATATATGTAATATATGTATATATATACACATACACACATGCACGCAAATGGAGAGCAAGGGAGGAGATCAGGCCGCAGCCCGCGGGGAGAGACTGCCACAATGTCCACACCTGGGCCAAGAACTGAGTTAGAGGAAGAAGAGGAGGAGGGGGAGGAGGAGGAGGAGGAGGAGGAGGAGGAGGAGGAACAAAAGGAACAAAGACGGCGCAGGATACGAATTATCCCCATTCCATGGCTTGCCAAACTGTGGCGCGCTACTTGTCGTAACGGCGCCGGCCGGCTGCGGACCGCCAGAATGAGTGGGCAGCGTTGTCGCCAAAATCTGTTTCGAGAACCCCGCGGCCGCGGAAGTTCGGGCGGTTGCTCGCCACTGCAAAGGAAGGGGAGGAGGAGGAGGAGGAGGAGGAGGAGGAGGAGGAGAAACGAGCGAGAAGACGGTTGCATTTGAAAGCCGCTGTCTTCCTCACCTATTGCGGGAGACGGGGCAACTAAAACAAATCGAAGGAAGCTGGCCTGGAGGCACAGCGGGCCCTACCCCGCAGAAGGTAGGCAAGGCTGCGGTTGCCGTACCACGCTGGAGCACAACAGACGAACCAGAAGGAAGAAGCGAGGGGAAAAGGGAAGAGGATAACAAATAGGAGTCTACCTGCGGGGACGGATCCGGGGCCGCTCAGCCCAGAGCGAATCCACGATCCTCATGCTGGCGCTGTGCCCCGCCACGGCGTTGCGACACTGCTGCTTCATGGCATCGAACGCTGTGTTCTCAGATACTCCGCCAAGAGGTCTGCATTGGTTGGTCGTACGATACACGGCGCACAGGAGGACTGCCATGCAAGTCAGGGCCTCCGCGCCCTCCGAAAACACCCGGTGAGCCAGCATAAAATGGTCAACTGCGAACGGCGCGACGCGGCGCATGTTGAGGAAGTTATCGGCGACCCGTCGCACGCACCTGCAAAATATGCACTGCTCGATCGAATCCTCCGCATGGCCTGGGCAGCCCAGCAAACACCGGTTCGCTGGGGAGGCCCGATGCTGGAAACGACGCGGCGTGCACCATCTGTTCCACAACGTTGACAAACATGCGGCTTGAACACGAGGTGCAACCAAGGCAGGAAGGCGTTGAACATGGCGCGCCACACGGGCGGCCGAGCGCGCCGGGGGGCCCGAAATATGCCACCTGGCCGTCTCGTGGCGGATCCGCCCGACCAGGTTGGCTCTTCGCCTTAAGAAGCTTGTAGGCCTCACACTGGAAGCCACTGCGTACCCTCCGCTCCATCTTTGGCCCGTCCTCTACGCTTGAGGGTGCGAGTTTGATGCTGGGCGCGATGGTGTCGAATGCGATGCCCCTGGCACTCATCGAGAGGCGGTTCTGGTAAAGCAGAACAACGTACGACCTCGAATACCAATCATTCCAACGAAATCGCCTCTGCAAGAACGGGGGCGACCCGATCAGCCTTTACATTCGCCTAGCCCGGGTGCCCAAGGAGCCCCCAGAAGCAGTCCACGATTCGTGACGAGCAACTCGGAGCAAGGCCGCCCGGGCCATATGCTCAATCGAAACGCACGATTTGGCCTGCCCATAGCCCTCCCGAAAATACCACAGGTCCTTAGAAACCCAGTTGCCGGGGCCGGGGGCGACCTTGCGGAGCGTCGCCGTTTCGAGCGCGCGCACCCGCGGGGGAGGGTTCTCCAGCTGGGCGAGGAAGGAAAGAACAGAGACCGCACACACGTTGCACGCAAAGATGCCGATGTGCAGCCCCTGGTGAACATTCGCCCAGGTCGTCGCCCTTTCGGCATACTTCTTAAGCGCCTTGTCCCAGGAGGAATCGCCCTTGCGAGGGCCCACGGCAAAGCCCAAGTAGACGCCGTGATAGCCGAAAGAGACCGGGGCCCAATCTGAGCAGGCCGCGAGGATCCGAGCCTTGGCGGCGTTCAGCTCCTCGCCCAGAGGGGGATGATCAGCGTCTTGGGAAGGTTCAGGTCGAGGCAGGATGTGCGTCCGAACTCTGCGAAGACATGGTGGGCGACCCCCGCGTCGCGCAGCCAGTTCTGGGAGACAACCCCGATATCATCTACAAATGCTCTGGCCGCCAACTCGGCGACCTTGCGTTCCAGCCGCCGGAGTAGGATATCCACCGCAACCGCAAAAAGCAAGGGAGACACGGGGCAGCCCTGGCGGATGCCAGCCGCGACGTCGAATGCCTCGTAGGTGGACCCTTTTAAACTGCAGGGCGCACTTGACGTGGCTATTGAAAGCCTTGAGGGCGTTGAGGGGGCCAGGGGGAAGCCCGATGTGATCCAGCACCGCGAACATGTAGTCGTGGGAGAGGCTCGGGAAGGCGGCCTTAAAATCGAGCAATACAGGGCCCCCCCATTCTTCCCGCAGGCTGACCGTCATGGAAGTTTCGTCGACGTCGATGAAGTTCATGAGCATGGACCTGCCTGCGAGGAGGCCGCGCTGCGCTACGCAGACCCAGTCATTGAATAGGGGTTCCCACGCGAGCTTCATTGCACTCGCCACGAGGCAATTGTCCGCGTTGACCACGGCCTAGGGGCGCGCGTCGCCCGGCCCGAAGAATTCGCCGAAGAGGTCATGCAGGCCCGACGCTGTTTTAGGGAGGCAACAAAGGGCACCAAGGCTGGAGTCGTGTCCGACGCCGCCACCCTGGGCGGAATTCGCCGGCCCAACGTGCCAGAGGCGTGCTAAGATCTCCGGTAACTGGTTAACAATTCTCTAGTTCGCGCGCGCAGGGCGGCCCCTGGGGGTCCCCGGACGAAAAAGTACCCCGGGCGATCCCCGACCGATCCCCGGGAGACTCCCCCAGAGCGCTCCAGGAGCGCTCCATGAGCGCACCAACAGGGCTCCGCGACGTCCCCGAGAGCCCCAAGAAAGGCCAAGAGGCCCCCAAGAGGCCCCCAAGATGGTACACGAGGGGTCCGACCTGCCACAAGATCGCTCCAAGACGCCCAAGATAGCCCCCAGACGCCCCAAGAGGCCTCCAAGAGCACTCCCACGAGGGCCCCCGGAAGCAAAATTCATTGTTTTTTCCTCCGGTTTTTGAAATATTTTGGAGCTTCCACCTTTTCGGCCCCCCGACGCCCCAAGACGGCCCCCAAGAGGGCCCAAGAGGCCCCGAAGAGGGCCCCAAGATGGCCCAAGAGGGCTCGAAGACGGCCCAAGAAGCCTCCAAGACGGTCCAAGAGGGCCCCAAGAACGCCCCCAAAGGGGCCCCAGAGAGGAAAGACGAAACAACATTTCGAGCCCTCGGCCCTAAGAAGCCCCTACGAGGCCCCAAGAGGCCCCTAAGAGGCCCCAAGAAGCCCCCACGAGGCCCTCAGGAGGCCCCCAAGAGTCCCCCAAGAGGCCCCAGGAGGCCCCCCAAATGCCCCCCCGAGCGCCCCAGGAGTCCCCCAAGCGGCCCCAGGAACCCCCAAAGCGCCGCATTGACACCAGGCCCTCGGGCAAACGGCAGACATGAGACTGCATGGGCCGGCGGAATGAGCGAAGCGATTAATAAGCCAATGCTAGCAGCGTGTCGGAGCTGTCGAACTGAAGCTCCTGCGCGACGTCGCACAAAGTGTCTGTGGCCAAATCGCCCAGGGCACGCCACACCTGGTAGGGAATCGCATCCGGGTCGGGGGCCGAGTTGCCAGTCTGACGGATGGCTCTTCGCACGCGTCGGCGCGTGACGCGCCACGCTTGCTCTCCTGGGAGACCCGCCGATCCTGGGGCGCCGAACTTCTGTGAGCCAGGTTGCGAGGAGTTCTGTGTCGATCGCCTTCTTGCTGGAGACGCCCTTCCAATGTGTCCGGAGGATGTCTGCCATCTCCGCGGGGTCTGTGGTGATGACGCCGTTCGGTTTGCACACTGCGTTAATAGCCGTAGCGCCCCCAGGCATGAGCCCCTTCAGCCTCGTCAGAATCTGCCCCTTGCGGCGCCCGCGCACCTGGTCGTCCGCAGTGCGGGTCTCCTGTTGTAGAGCCAGCAGCTCCTGCGCAACCGACTCGCGGTCCTGGACCTTCCGAAAATCGGGGTGGGAGCGGAGGTTGGGATCGCTAACCGCACATAGCTCGCGAAGCTAGGGTTAAGCCAGAGCGCACTTTCGCATCAAGGACAGGTTGACCTTCTCCGCCGCGCGGATGAATGTCATCCCCCAGCCGACCTGGTCCTCCGCGGAATGGGCAACATCGATTTGCTGCTCGTCGGCCATCCTGATGGTGATCTCCCGGATGGCTTCCTTCAGTAGGAGAAGACGTCGGACCGCCAGACCACGTAGCGGGCCGTGGGAGATCTTACCCATGAAGCTAAGATCGAGCCGCTCCTTCCAGGCCTCCTTCTGGAGCAGTGGCCCCATGGGTAACGGAGACGTCCAAGACTCCGGTTTGGAGCCTTGAAGACGGCGGAAAGAAAGAGGACGATGTGAAGATGTCGTCTTGTCGTAGTTCAGGGCGGCACTGCCGAAGCTCTTGTACAACTGAGACTGCGCGCCCGCGTCGGAATGCGTAAAATGCCCCTGCACCCACTCTACCAGGCCGAACGGCCTGCCCAGAAGCGACTGGAAGGCTTCCTCGTCGGGTAGATCTCCAGCGCCAGTACATGAGCCTGCGGTGCTGCAGTAATGGTCCAAGCCGGTCGGCACGTAGTTGAAGTCGCCCGCAAGCACGGTGAGAGATACCTCCCAAGGGCGGAGAGCCGCCGCGAGTAGTTCCATTGAGCGCCGGCGGCGCGTTCGAGGAGCCAGGCCCTGTTGCCCAATAGATGCCTGCGATATCCAAGCTTCCAGCAGGGCCGTCGAGCCGAAGGATCGAGCATCGCCCAGGCTCCACTTTAATCCAGCTCTCTTCCGTGACTGGGCCGAACTGCGATAGGAACGCGGTTTTGATGAAGAGGGCGACTCCTGCCTGATGGTTGGTACCATGGTTCCAGAAGGCACGAAGATTCTGGGGAATGCGGAAGCTGTCCGCCTTGCCGACATTCCCGTGCGTCTCCGGGAAGAAAACGAAATCGTGGGTCTGGGCGCGCGCCATCGCTTTGCGAACCTTCTGGTGCTGGCGGCTGCAGACCGCGGCCATCAACGCCTGGCCATTCCAAGTAACCCCGGCCACATCGCCGGTGGAAGGCATGCGAGCCCCAGGGGCAGCAAGCTGAGGAACGGCAGGAGGGGCGGCAAGGTGGGTCGGGCCGGAGGTCCTTGTCCGCTTCCGCGCAGGAGGAGAAGGAGTCGAAGATGAAGTAGAAGTAGGGGCCAGACGGATAGTGGCAAGGAACATGCAGCACTTGAATTCTGAACTACATGCACAGCCCCGCTGTGAAGAGGGCCCTCTGCTCGTAGACGGCAAACCCAACCCTTCGGTATCCAAGCCTAGTAACAGGCTATCCCATCCCGCCGCCGAAGTATTGGGATTGGCCACGAAGTCGCTGGAAACCTCGATGACGTGGCTCATCCCGTCGAGCTCAACGGCGGCCCCATGGATATGGGCGAAGAGCGTCTCAACCATCGCGGTGTCCCTGGCCTGGACCAGGATCTTCCCCGCCCAGGCAACATCCGCAGCCAAGATGATCTTCCACTCGCCCTCTACGAGGTCCCTGGAGGCCCCCTGGCGCGCGAGCCTGGTGCCAGCCTTCGTGCAGATCGCCGTGACCAAGGCCAGAACGAGCTCCGCCCCGTCCTTGACATGGATGTCCCGGAGACAGATCGTGGCGTTGAGGGAGCGGCGAAGCTGCTCAGTCTGGGATGGTTCGCGCGCGGCGGCCTGCGCCCGCGCGGCTTTGACGGTGGAGCCCAGGAGCTGCACTGTGGCGAATGGGCGGCCTCCACCATGGGAGCTCCTATGACGCATCTGTTCGATCGCCGCCTCAAGTGCTGGCGCCCGCCATGGGAGCCAGCACTTTCGGGGAGGTGAGAAGAACAGCCAACTTGGGGGAGACCAACACCACTTCCTCCATCCAGTCGACATGCTGGCCCGCAACCGTCGAAGCGCCCATGCCCATCAAAATCGCGGAAGAAAGGCCGAATACATTGCGAGAGCCCATAAGGCACCCGCGAAAAGCGGGCTCCTTGACGTAGATACGGAGGTCCATCTCGGAGACCATGTCGCTGTCGAAGGAGAGTGTGAAACATGCGCGCGGGAGGGCGTTCGCACTTCCAAAGCTCTTCCTGGGGCCGCCCACCCCGACGAGCCCAGGGAGAGAGATGGCGTAGACGGCCTGGTGGAAGCGCATCTGGCCCTCCCCGGCAAAGTCCAAGATGATGGCCGGCCCGGGCTCGTAGCGGAGCAGGGCGGGCATCAAGACTACGACCTGCTGTCCTTGAAACATCCCTTCGGTCGAGAACTTCGCCACGGCGATCGATTTCAGGCGGCGGATGGGGGCCATACCCAGGGGTCCTCCGGAACAGCGAAGTGGTTCCCAGTCGCGACCGCCCATCCGGAACCATTTCAGGTGCCAGAATAAGTCCGGAACCACCGTGGCAGCCCGGAACCATCATATACAAGCCGCGTACAGCTATACATAAATGCGTGTATATATATATATACACATGTATATACATATATATATATACATGTATATATACACATATATATATACGTACACATATATGTTACATTTAGTGATATATGTAGCCAAAACATATCATATATATACGTATATATACAAAACATGCATGTGTGCGTATGTTGTATATACATATACATATACAGTACACTTGAGGGAGGAGGAGGAGGAGGAGGAGGAATCAAGGACGAGAGTCAGGGAGAGGGGGGAGGGAGAGAGGGGAGGGGGAGCATGACATTTTTGTTGGATTCAGCGAGCTCGTTGTCGAACTCAGCGAGGTTGCGAAATCACGCGGCCTAGCTGGGGCTCCGCTACCAAACTATTGATCGCGCGCTTGAGCCAAGCGGCGAGGGGGGGGTGGAGGAGGAGAGGAGGAAAAATAGGATGAGAAAGTGGAAACGTGCCCGATCGGCCCCCCGCGCCTCAGCGAACTGGCCTGGCGCAAAGGACGAAGCGGTCGTCGCCCTCGTAGCGGGTGTCGAACCACGCGAAGTGGTACCTACAGGGTGCGGCGCGCGCCCGTGCTATGCTATGCGGCGCTAGCATAGCAACACATGTTGCAAACAGCACTAGATGTTGCGATCTGCTAGCGAATGCTCTACAAAAGCCAGGGGTTCGCCCTGAGGCGCCCGAGGTCGTCGAACCACTCGAGCACGGCGGCGGCGGGCCCCTGCAGCCACTTGTACCACCGCGTGATGTGCACGCGGTGGAGCGGCGCCCTTTGGGACGCCCGCCACACCCACACGGGCAGGCGGTCCCGCGGGGCCCGCGGGAACAGGTACCCCCTGGGAGCCCACCGTGGCGCCCGCTCCCCCTCGCCCACAGGCGCGACGGGGGCCTCCCAGGGCACCACTGGGTCGAGCCCAGGAGGCGGCCCAGGGAGGACCACCACATCCGCCGAGGGGGGGAAGGGGGAGGGGGGGGGGCCCAGGGCACTCCCAAAGCTGGGCCATGAGCCAAGCCCTTGAACCGCAAAAAAAAAACCCAAGGAGGAGGAGGAGGAAGAGGAGGAAGAGGAAGAGGAAGAAGAACATGAGGAGGAGGAGGAGGAGCAGGAGGAAGAGGAAGAGGAGGAGGAGGAGGAGGAGGAAGAGAAGGATGAGGAGGAGGAGGAAAAAGAGGAGGACGGCGGTGATATGAGCAGAGGTAAGGGAAGAGGAGGGTTAATATGATGATGAAGAGGAGGAGGAGGAGGAGGAGGAGGATCAGGAGGAGGATGAGGAGGAGGAGGAGGAGGAGAGGAGGAGGAGGAGGAGGAGGATGAGGAGGAGGAGGAGGAGGAGGACGACGACGACGAGGACGACGAAGACGAGGACGAGGAGGAGGAGGAGGTGCCTGCCTCCCCCCTTTCCCCTCCCTTCCCCTTTTCCTCGTTGTCCTCTCCTTCCCCTCCCTTTGTTTCGTCCGTCCCCCGTCCTCGCTTAATTTCATCGCTCCTCCATCCTCCCTCCCTCCCTTCCATTCCCTCCCCCTGTTCCGTTCCTGTCTGTCTGTTCGTTCTCTCTTTTTGTTCGCCGCCCTCTCTCTCGGACTGGCCCAAATTCCGAGCTGGCCATGATTTCTCGCTCCGTCTCTCGGCTGCTCACTGCTCGGTCTGCTCGGGCTCTTCCGCTCCATCCTTTTTCTCCTCCTCGTTTTCTTCCTCGTTCTCCTCCTCTTCGTCCTCCTCCTCCACCTCCTCCTCCACCTCCTCCTCCCCTCCTCCCTATCCTCCTACTCTTCCTCTTCCTACTCCCCCTCCCCCCCCTGCTCCTCTTCCTCCAGGGCGGAGCCTAGAGTTAGAGAGAGAGAGGGAATAACAACAAGGCAGAGAGACGCAGCGAGCGCCTGGCACGAGCTACAGATCGAGACCACACCGCCTTCCATCAGCGATGGTCTTCGGTGTCAAGTGGATGTCGTTTCTAGATGGGCTGGTTATGGACAACCCTCTCGAACGTGGCCGCCCTCCGTGACTCCGCCCAGTCCTGCCCATGATCCATCTCCCTGATCCCCATGCCCATGTTCCTTTTCTTTGCTAGCGAAATTGATGCTAGGTGCAGGTTCCGCAACGGCGTTCGGGCCTCTGCTAGGCCAGCGTTCAAGGAAAGTTGGCAGGGAAAGCATCAGTATCGCGAGCAAGGGAAAGGAACATGGGCATGTGAACCAGGGAAATGCTCCCATCTATCCCTCTCCTTCCTCTCTTCCGCTTTCAAACGCCGCGCCGATCGCGAAGCGCTCGCGTTTCCACGCGAGCTTCTCCCAGGGGTGCGCGACCGGAACGCGCTGCAAGGCGACGGGGCACGCTGCAGGGGGCACGGGGCACGCGGCAGGGGCTGCAGGGAAGTCCGAACGGGTCGGAGGGCAGTTGGGTATCTTCGAGCATTTCAAGATCTCAATAATATAAAAGATGGGGCGAAGGAGGGAGGGTCGCAGCAGCCATCACTTGTCATCCTGCACGTCGGCCTTGCCAAGGAGGGGGAGGAGGAGGATACGGATACAGTCAACCCATAATAGGAAGGGTGCTCGGGAAGGATGTAATTGCCTTGGAGAGCCGTGAATAGCAGTTCAAAGCTGCCACGGATGCGCCGAAGGTGAAGGATGCAAGGGGATAACCTTGGAAAGTCGCTCATCCTTTCTATGCTGGTTGACTGTGGCGAGGGGCCCTCCAGGGCGACTGTCGGTAAGAGATGATGGGCGAACACACGCAATGAACTATGCGATGAAGTCCAATGAAGTGCAATGAACTCTTCAACCTTTGAAGAACAGGGGAAAGAGAGAGGAGGCAAAATGGTGAGGACAGCGGGAGAATATGACGAGGAAAAGAGGGTGGAGGTGGGATGTACGAGGGTGAGAGTGAGGGGGAGGACGGGATGGTGATCAGTGGGGGAGGAGGAAAAGCAGAGGAGGAGCAGGAGGAGGCAGATATGGAGTGGATGGAACAACGCCTTGCTGCAGTAATCGTGAATCGTGCGCATGTTGGACGATGCCGCCCTTGTCTTTGCCCGCTTTGCCCTCCTCGCCTGCTTCTCAGCCTCTAAATCCCTCTCAAAAAGTGCTGTCATCCTCGCCTTTTTCCTCATCAGCTGCCCATCGCTCATCGAGAAATTGACTCTGTCCATGAACTTGCCATCCTGCGCCGCC